AATATTAAAGTCTTTAGTTTAATTTCATAGTGCATCTTTTTCTTACGTTTAGATAATTTGTACCCATTTAGCAAAACGCTGTAAAGAAATTAAATTTTAAAAAAAATCGTTGTTGTAGTCCACATGATGTATAGACTGACTTGCCACGTAATCAATTTTCTCAATCCCTCTTGAGTTGCTGGCTAAAGAAAAAGTCTCGGTCTCTGAGTGTGTCTATGTTTATATATTCCTGTCTGTCTGTCAGGAAGACAACGTGTCTTGCTGACAGACAGACCCATCCACCTGAGTCTTCCGTAATAACTACGGAACTCCGTTTTTCGTCAGAGATCCTGTCACGAAATCAAAATCTCTTGTGCCGATTGTAGATGTGAACGTCTCCTTCCTGACTCTAATCTCCTTTACAAAGGTTCCTTATATAAACACGGTAGGGGTTTCCAAATTCTTACGAAACTGGCTGGATTTTTACTAGTGCCCAATAGTTTATGTTTTATATTAAATTTATTCCAAGACATATCAAACGTGATAGGAAAATATATTGAAGGATTTTTGCAGAACACACACAAGAATTACTATGCCACATTAAGTACTAACGGCAGTAATTGGAAGTAATTACCAAATGCAATACAGTAAAGTGTAAATTTTTTTAAAATAAAAAATCCGTTGAAGTGCTTTAAACGCGAAGAATTATAGAAAAACAACTGTTCACCCCGAAACTTCCTATTTTTCCCTGCTGTATCAACTATATATGTTAAATGCGATAGATAGTAATATGATTTAAGAATAAATTTAAGAACGTACATTTAGCTTATCTTATAAGACAATCCGCGTCACATAAGGTCTGGCACTCCTGTCCGTTCCTGAAGAAGTATTTCAACGTGGCTTGTAATATTTAGAAGATCCCTGTCGTATCCTCTTGTCTTCTGCTATTGATTCGTTGAAGGCACCAAACTTTAATCTCTAGAGCCTCTGGTATACCTGTCCGCACGTAACACACTATACGTGCCACCTACGTTCCCCCGTATCTAAATGCTGATATCCACGGCGACGTGATGCTGAGGGAACAGCTGTCAGAAAAATAACAAAGCATCTACCGAACGAGAACTAATTAACCAGGTAACTTGAAGCAGCAGAGGCTATTAGTCGCTGAGTTAGTCAAAAAAATATCATTTTATGGAACCCGAGAATTTATTATAGCATTAACAACTTCCAGCCACCACATTGCATCTATAACCACCCTCAGCTCGACAAAATAATATTTAATAATTTAGTCGATATCGTATGTAAAACACCGCATCAAAACTGGTAAATGCTGTTCATGGAAGTAATAATTTTTGTAGTGAGAACCACACAAAACCCATAAATACAAAATACAGAGCTAATGATTATTACAGAAGGTTGTACATATTTTCCACTATGTTTTAAAGGGTTAATAGGAAAATAAGGCGAGAGTTTCAGATGTATTGAGCTGCAACTATTTTCCGAGTGAATTTCAGCGTAACAGAACTCAATATTAGTGATCCATTAGGGCTACATGAACCGAATCTTACAGCAAATCTTACAAGCCCGTATAAGAAAAACCTTTATCTCTTTCTATAAAAATAAAAATGGAGTTGAAAAACGTGACTACACTGAAATGGCTGCCAATTTCATCTTTGCTGTTATAAGGGAAGAACACTTCTCAAACTACGTCACTGTCTCCGCAAGTTCTTCATCCGATCGCATATCCCTTCGTTCATAACCACACTCTGATTATTATTCTTACCCTGAGACACACAAATTCGCCCAAACACCCTAACACCACTGACATGCTACCGTTCAACACCTCGAATTTAGTCACATTTATGATCCACATTAAAATTAACGTAAAATAACATCATGTAGGCTACGTCTCTGTGTTATCGTACATACACGACTGTTTCTATGCTTGGAAATCGTGTAATGCATAAACCGATCACTGTGTGACGTCACGGCGGATTATAATATAAAAAGTATATATAAAACGTACCACTTTTCACGAGAATCAGTTAGACAGGTCCAAGAAACGTTACTCTGAAATTACGTATAATTTACTCGTGAGAATTCACACTCTACTGCCGTTTGAAGCACGAAACTCGTCTGAATAACATTTTAAAAAAACATTTTTTAAATTTTTTTAGCTCGATATTTATTTTGACACAAATATGTGTATCTCATATAGAAAAAAGTTCCCATTTTGTCCAGGTTTTTATTACGTAAAATTTTCCGTATATCTTACTGCACTTTGCGAGCTATTGTGAACCCATCTCTCCCCTCTTTTGGCTGCAGTCCATCTCACACTTTTCGTCCCATCTTGGATCTCATTATTTATACCTTAACCAACTTATCTTTATTCCATCCGGTTCAGCCATCATTCACTGGATTATTTCCGTGTTACAGACACTCAATTCCTCTTCCTAACCTCAGCGACCTCCACATACCTCGCAATACCAGAACCAGAGATAATAAGCCTTATATTTATTTGCAACAAATCTCTTATTGCCATGATAATACAGATTCTCAGTCCTGTGGAGCGTTTATAACCACACGACGTCATAACCCAAAAGACCAATTCTCATGTATCCATCATTTTGACTAACAATTTGGAAAACCAAATTTGATAGCTAATGCCTAACGCTTATAATATTTGTTTCAGCTTCTGCGCAGGCGTCAGAAACGATAATTCATGGAGCACATTCCACTCCATTGCTAATTAAAACTTACACTATCGAAATATATTGTTACAAAATACAAGACCTGAAGGACACGAAATCTGTACAGTAGGACAGTAGGTTTTATGAGTTTTACCAGAAATTAATTTTAAAATTTTTTTTATTGCATAAATAATTGGTCCCGTTCATAATAACAGCAATATAATTTCCACACTTCTCTTTCATTACCTAACGTAACGATCTTCCACACGGGATAAAGAGCTATTTAACCACACGCAAATATTTTAAATTGATTTAAGTGGCGCATTAATCTTCAGACCTAATGCAATTCCTTTAAATCGAATTTTGGATTGTGATTTAGAATTCTGCTGAATTTTAATATGTGCGAGTGCATTGAATATAGCCAGAATCGTAGCAGGAGGTGGAGGGGGGGATGTTGCTGAGGGAAATAGGAAAACAAGGTAGTTAAATACCCGTAGAGAGTAAAGAACGAGGGCAGAAAGAGACGATGCACTGGATGTTCACCGCAGAGTAAGGAAGGAACGAGCTACAGCGAAGTGGGCCTCATACAGTACCCCAACCAGGACGTGCCTCGCCTTGCAAACCGCGACGAACATTAATTTCTTGTCTAGATGCTGATTAAAATCTAAATGGCGGCTCCTTCATTCTTCCGCATTATACTTCAGACTAGTACGCGTGCGCAGATAAAGGGTTATTCTCCCGCCTTACACTAAGGGCTATATAGAACCGATATTCTTATAATAAGATTACCTTTAAGATAAATACACACTTGCGAAGAAGTTAAGGTTTTAAAATTGTGATTATCAGGTCAGTGTCGGCCATGGGTCTCATTTAAACTTTTCCTTATGAACCACGAATATAATCCTCCACCACCGTCGTTACATTTTCATTATATTGCAAATACAGTTCAGTTTTTTACATGTGGCCGCTGAGAAGCGCGTGAGGGGAAATGAGGGAAGAGGAGTGGGAGTTGAAGTTCTAGGTGCACTCCACACTCCCCTTATATTTCTCACCTCTGTTACTGGACTCGTACAGATCTACAGCGCATAGTATTTACGGTGGCCACGTCTAAGAAACTGGACTGTAAGTATTTATGAAACAGACATCTGGGCCGATTGACAAATTCTTGTTCGCCCGGACTAAACTACTTTCTTTGAACGAAGGGCATAAAACGAACGTATCAGGAGATAACAATAACTCTTGCTTTGGGAGAATTGTTGTTGGGGGTATGAAACTGACCATCAAACTCCATACAATACTGAAGATATGAAAGAGTGGAACTATACCTCCACTCACCATTTCACCTTCAAGAGTTCTCCTGAATTAGTCTCATCCGTTTATGAAAAGAGACCACTGAAAATGCCTGTAATTCAACTAACCCGCCTCACACATGTGTCGGAGAAGTTGCCGGTGGGGGGTCTTGCGTGGTAATAATGTAACATAATTCTTCGTGCTCTGACGAATAAGATATTCAACGAAGTCCAGAACTGCGAAAAATTGTCTTGGGTTCGATTCCCAGTGAACATTACTTCTGTATCTCGGATAATAAGCATAAGAGAATAAATCTTCGAGACCAAAATTGTTTTTTTCGGAGTAGACATTACAGGAACAAACTCCGCAATATGTTGCTATTCGTTTTAATACTAATCAGTTGTTGCCGTAAAGAAACCGACACGTTGTGGCTTGATGGTAATGATGGTTATGATTCATAACATTATAAGCCATATGCTTGCTTAATTGCTTTCTTAAGCAGTAGGTCTTATGACTGTAAGAACCCCAGAAGGGAATGTATCATCTCCAATTCCTCTGCTCATGCGCGTGGGGCCTTTAATACTTCAAATAAAAAATAATTAATCGGTCAGGTCTGTAGTTACAGTGTGGACCATTCTAAAAATAAAGACAGATCAAGTTTTCTCCGCCTTTACTTAATTCCGTCAGTGGGGCGCTCGAGTGGCTACGACGTCTCTCCCAGATGTACAGTCACGCCCATTCATTCTTGTTTGATTCATGAGCTGTCTCTTCAACTGTATACATCCACCTCCGCGTGCTTTGTTTTATCTGTGACTCAGACTGCATTTTCAGTGAAATATTTTTTGTACCAAGATTTCGCATTGGCAGGGGCAGAGCGCTTATATTATCTGTGTTAGCCCGGCTAACACTGTGAAAAACGAAACGTATAGTCTTCTGTCTTATTTTACTGGTTCAGTGTCTGACCATAGACTGGAAAACACATATTGAAATTCATGTTATTGGAGTCCATTCCACTAACTGAAACCATATTTAATTTTACAGGTTTCCTCGAGAGCAGCAAACGTTGCCAAATCACTTCTACTTTACGGACTTCGAGCGTCATACAGCAGAGATCGCAGCTTTCCATCTTGATCGGCAAGTACACACTCTGTCCAGTTCTCAGTTTCTCAGTTCCTGGCCGGGTTTCTAGGCGACCATGACGGGTTTATAGTGCAAGAGCGAGATATGTCCAACATTTCTTGGATGCGTGGTAGCCGTTAAGAACCAATCATGAGGTGCGATGATTTACATCAGTGTTTACTCAGCGGAAGTAACAGTCACGTGACGCGTGACCAGTCATAGAGTCAACACATCAGTGGTTAGTCGTGGCGAGAGTTAAAAATTGTCTTCGTAATGCACGCTTAATTAACCTGCTTCCTCCTTTAATGTGTGGTGTCACGAGGTATTACATTTCACATCTTCTCACTAACATCTTGTCGCCTTTGTCTTTTTATTTCTACATTTTATTATTATTTAGTGTTCTGTCTGACGACAGGTCCATTTTTCTGCCCAAAAAGAGTTCGCCAGTTTTCCCTATTCTCAGCTTCTCTTTTTAATTCCTGAATATCTACATTATACAGAAATAACTAAGATGCTAATTTATTATTGGTAAGGCATTGGTCTAGCGGTTAGAACGCTGGGGTCCCGGGTTCGATTCCCGGCGGTGCCCGAATTTATAACTTGTGTTGGACAAGGCCGTGGTCTAGGCAACACGGAGTTTTCCTCCGTGGCATCCCAATAATTACTCCATTCACACACAGAAGAAGGCAATGGCAAACCACTTGTGGATCATCTGCCAAGAACGTATATGAACAGGTCCCAGTCCGAGAAAAGGATGGAAGGATCCTGTTCATATGGACCTATCGTCAGACAGAACACTAAAATAAAAATAATAAAGGCATATAGCGGAAAGAAACACATACAAAATTTTGGGTGGAAGACCACTTGAAGACCTAGGCTCAAATGGAATGGTAGTACTTAAATAAATCGTAGAGAAATGTGGTTGGGAGTGTGGATTGGGTTAATATGGCTCGGAATAGGGGAGAGTGACGGGCTGTTATGAACACGGCATAAAAGTCGAATTTATTGACTAGCTGAGCGGACTGTTAAATTTTTAATATGGACCCTACTCTATGAACTTACTTGAGTTTCGATTAGGCTTATTGATAAAGAAATCTTACGACCTCTAACGCAATTTGTTGCACCCTCGAATATGCTGTTAACGGTTCTGTGTCAAGTGACCTTACAGAAGCCGGAGAAGAAATCGATGCGTGTATAATTGGAAATTGGGAAGGGGCGGATATTTATAGTTACAAAATAAATATTATATACTAAGTACATAACACAGATGGAGACTGTTATATTAGAGCTGTGGACCGCAAAAGTTAGGTGTCGAGCGGACAAAATCTTCTACACAAAGAACTTGGCCTGAGAAATGATTCGTTGAATTCATTTGTGTGATTTCCACTAATCGATTGTGTACGGTACGCAAAATCGAGAAGTCTAAAATCTTGATAAAGTAGTTTCAGGTATGAGAAATGGGGAACGATGTGTCGTATCGACAAAAGCAAAGCGGATTGTTCGACAACGTTCTGCTATCCGACTTTGTCATCTTGTGCAAATATCGGGGCTCGACGCGGAACTACAGTTACACTCAGTTTCCGTTTCTATGGTGACCAATTCACAGATGTTAAATTGCAGTTGGGACTGAGGGCAAGCCTCAATGAAGGTTGTCCAAATTGTGGTTGATGGTTTTGTTAACATACAACTTTCTCTCACAAGTTTGTACAGTCTACAGCGAGTAAATAATTTTGTGAGTGGTGATTTAAAGGGTGTGCCTTGTGAATAATTGATCTCTTAATTTAATAGGACACTGTTTGCTCTTTTTAGTTATTTCATGACGCTATATCAGATGCACGTGATAATTGTAACCATTAGCGGAATGAAAGCACGAACTTGATGCGTTTACTCGTAAATTCACCGCAAACACTAAATATTTTATGGTTCAGTCTGCGTTATTTCATGCAGTGAGTCCAACATTTGCATCGCAAAACCGACAATGTTGGTAACTCTCATTACTCCGATAAACGCTGCTAGTGTCAGAGAACGTTCAACTCCTGTTTCTGTCGTATTTTATACGGTACTTTTGTAAAGAGGGACTTAACTGATTCCATTAATCCATTGATACTGAATAGAGAAGGCAGTGGGAATGGCTGAAGACTGATTGCATTGTCATCGCCACTGCCTTATGAATCATCAATACTTGGTCCATCATCTTCTAATTTCTTGCCAGAAAGGTGATGAAAATGATGATCCTGAGTCAAATGAATTAATTCACTCTACAAACTACAATATGTTTAAGATACATTTTAATATTATACTTCCGTCTACGCCCATGTCTTTCATATTGTCTCTTCTCTTGAAGTTTTGCCACGCCACTTTCGTCTTTCTTGATTTGTTTACACTTTGGCCACCCCTATATAGTGTCACCACAGAGAGAGAGAGAGAGAGAGAGAGAGAGAGAGAATGGAGCCCACTGTTGTGTCATAAACGACGCACTCTTTACGCGTAACTCGCCACAACGTTTCCCATTATTAGCTGTTGTTCATGCATTGAACGTCATGTTGTGTGGGAAGGTCTTTTTGTGTCTGCGATTAGTATTGGATTTTGATTAACTTTCGTGTTGAAATGGAATGCAAAAATTATCATCTCAACCAAATGTGGTTTTCAGTTTAGTTAAATAAAGAACTGATTTCTCGTTACATATTTTCACACATTACATAACATTTTAAATAAAACATCTTAACTATACATACCTTATACATTAATTACATCGGTTTGCTATAATGTATGTGTTTGAATACAATGTTTTAATATGAAAACAAGGATTGCAACAACAAAAAATTCACGACCATCTGCACGACTATCAGCTTCTCCTGGAGGTGCACAATTTGAAACGAAACTCATCAACAGTCACGCACCACGGCAGAAAAATTTAATGAAACGCACGTCCACCCCGTATAACAGGCTCTCCCATTTTCCCCCGTTACTCTATTCAAGGTCACCCTACTTCCTAGGCTGGTTTCGTTATTTTATGCGTGAAGGGGTTAGTGCAGTAACAGCCGTAGTTTGGATTGGATTTAGAATGGAACAGACTGTATTTCGTTTTAATATCGAGATATGTGAAAGGTAGTTCTGTCTTTCATTTGCAATATTCAAGTCAAAGTCTTCGTGCCTCTGGGACGGTGCAGACAGTTGTTGACTTCCTGGTCTGCAGTTAACTTTGTTCTTGTTTGAGAGATGGAAGCCCGACTTTTAGTGCGATCAGGAGTTGTTTTGTTTTCCGATTTGACGTTGGATATTACACAGGTTTCAGAGATGTGACGTCTCTGTTTTCAGTGCAGAGGCTTTGGCGTTTTCATGGAACGGAAATAATAAGTATACAGCTTGGTCGGAAATGTGGGCACGAAATACAAATCGCATGGCATGACCACAGTCAGCGTTTACGTGCTTCCTATAAATTACAACTGGTGAAACAGAAAATCGGAATATTGCTTTTTTTAAAAAAAAAAATTGTTCTCTCGTACAGAGTATTTCATTAGGCCTGTTTAACACGAAAACAGTGTTATAACACAAAAAGGCGGTAGAAACTCAACATCCCTGTTATAAATGTATCTCACGTGTGTGTTTATGTGTAAATATCGTGTGTAAGCAAATAGAACACGACTCACCACATAATATTTTCTTCCACATCAGTAACATTGATTACGTGTCTATTTTTTAACGTTTTGTTTCAGTGAGCGAAACATTTTTCGGAAACAACTTATGTAAATAGGAGGTCACGGTCTTTGCTTACTATTATACACCGGCAACCTTCAACACACCCTAACCTCAAATTTGTCACTCGTTGTCTTTACATGGCAAACTGAATGTACGAGGACATATTGAAAAGTTCCAAAGTTTTTTTTCCCCTAAGAAAAAGTAAATGCTTGACTGTGTGAAGTAAACGACACTCATAATTTCTTGCTTTTTTAAAAAATAATTTTGTCATAGAGGTCTTTGAATTACTGCCATGAAAATGGGGCAGTGGACGGAGACGATATTAGTTCGGAATGGACAGAGTACAGTGGTTGAGATTTTTATTGCAGGAAATGTTCCATCGATTGGCATTAGTCGGCAAAAGAAACTTGTTTATGGCGACAGTTGTGTAGAAATAAAAAGTTTCGACACTGGACTGCACATGTCAGGGACCCATGTCTCAAACACTTCAGCTCACTGACTCTTCCATTAACTGAGCATTACTTTTCAAAAATTCAAGGCAAATAAGATTTGAGGTTTTCACAGAGGTGAGTATGAAGATTTCCGTCTTCTGGGTTGTTGCGCTGTGTAGTCTGGTCGATGTTAACCGACGTTTCGGAGGTCATACTGCCTCCGCCATCAGGGCGATGAGTATGACGATTTCTGTCTTCTGGGTCGTTGATTCATCGCCCTGACGACGGAGGCAGTATGACTTCCGAAACGTTGGTTAACATCGACCAGACTATACAGCGCAACAATCCAGAAGACAGAAATCGTCATCGCCCTGATGACGGAGGCTGTATGACCTCCGAAACGTCGGTTAACATCGACCAGACTATACAGCGCAACAATCCAGAAGACAGAAATCGTCATCGCCCTGATGACGGAGGCTGTATGACCTCCGAAACGTCGGTTAACATCGACCAGACTATACAGCGCAACAATCCAGAAGACAGAAATCGTCATCGCCCTGATGACGGAGGCTGTATGACCTCCGAAACGTCGGTTAACATCGACCAGACTATACAGCGCAACAATCCAGAAGACAGAAATCGTCATCGCCCTGATGACGGAGGCTGTATGACCTCCGAAACGTCGGTTAACATCGACCAGACTATACAGCGCAACAATCCAGAAGACAGAAATCGTCATCGCCCTGATGACGGAGGCTGTATGACCTCCGAAACGTCGGTTAACATCGACCAGACTATACAGCGCAACAATCCAGAAGACAGAAATCGTCATCGCCCTGATGACGGAGGCTGTATGACCTCCGAAACGTCGGTTAACATCGACCA